TGATATGTGATTAAATTTTTATTTTTTCTTTATTTTCAAAATCAAGTGGCTTATGTAAGCTTGTAAATGTTCTCCAGAAGTTCAAAGGGATTTTTAGCTTCATAGCACCCTCATTTGGTAACAACTATGTGAATTGCATTTAAGAGCTGTAAATAGGCCCCTCAGTTTCAGAAACAGAGTTGGAGATTTTACCTGGTCAAATATTAAACACATGTGAGTAATACATAATAGTTAATATTATGGAATATTTGCCATAAGTCATGAACTTTTTCAATATTCTATACTATTCTATTTAATATTCATAATGCTTCCGTGAATAAGGTATAATTATTATCATCATTTTATATTTGAAATTAAAGAGGTTAACAATTTTGTTTAAGATCTTACACTTGTTAAGAGGAAGACCTGGTTCTTAAATCTAATCCTGATTGACATCAAAGTTCATGGTCTTAATCACTGTGCTATTCTGGTACCATCTGATGCAAAATAAATTACTGATAGGGATAAAAATAAATAATATACTTTATATTAGGAATTTTTAAAAAACCTTGAAAATTTTCTGAGGTGATAAGGAACCAGTCAGAGATTAGTCAAAACAATCTGATCTCTTATAAACATATATGTATGAACCTGTCTAAATCTCTGGCAATAGAACAAATTCCTCCTTATATATTTCTTAATATAAATTTTTTTACTATTAATTCATATTTGCATATACAACATTGCTGGCCCTGTTTTTAGATAAAACCAAATAAAACATAGTTTTTTAATTTGCATTGAGGTTATTTCAGGTCTTGTGGTTGTTTAGAATATCACAAGAAATAGCCAATGCCTCTGAGTCTCTGATAATTTTGCTATAAAGCAGAACTGTTATCTATTTTAGACTAATAGGTAATGATACTAATCCCAAATGTATGGTGTCTAACAATTTGCAGTAAAATGAAATGGCTGATTTCAGAGCTGGGGCAAGAAAGACACAAGATAAGCCTGGCAAATATTGTCACAAAGGAAGTAAGCAAATGCTAAAAAAAAAAAGAAAAAAATGATGTGGCATATCACAGTGACATGGGAGTCAGAATGAAGTTACCCCCACTGGCCAATTCAGGGATAGTCTGAGCATCAAAATAATTAAAATAGTAATGAATTATAACAATTTCTAAAAGTTAAGAATTCATAAGTCTATGTCATAATAAGTAGATAAATAAACAAATGAATGACAATGGGCAAAATAATGCTCTTATTTACATCAGAATGCCAAGTGCTGATGGAAAAAAGTTAAAAGATTGCTTCAGCTAGGAAAAAAAGCAATCATCTTTTGGAATCAATAGGGTAAAGATTGGTTCACAAAAGAGTCACCGATAATGTGACATCTAAGAATAAGTTTGACGAGTAGCAGATATTTGTATGTTATGGCCTTAAAATCCTCCCCTACTGCTTAGCAGTAGCAGGGGGAAAGAAAACAGCAACTGCACAGGGCAGAAATCAGACAACATCTTGATTGGGTAATAGAAATTAACATCACAAATGAGAAACAGATGGATATCCTCTGCCTCTGGCTATCATTCCTTGAGAAGGTTACAACTTCATTTATTTATTTCCAGATGGGCATAACTAGAATTTAATGAAGAAACACGAGTCAAACCCAAAATCAGAGATATTCTTTTTTAAACAAAGGGTACATGCATTGTTGAAAATGTCAATGATCAGTAATGACAAAGAAAAGCTAAAGAATTATTCCCCAGACTAAACAAGGCTAAAGTGATATGACAACTAAATAAAATATCGGATTCTGTACTAGAGGAAAAATAATTTTATAAAGGACATTTTTCAATCACTTGATAGAATTGGAAGATGAATAGTAGTTCAATAAAAGCATAATAACAATGTTAGATGTATAAAAGTTGAAAACCGCATTGTGGTTGTGTTAGAGAATGTCCTAATGCTTCAGAAATGCGCACTGGAATAACTAGGGAGAAAGGAGCATGAAGTACACAGGTTGCTCCCAAATGATTCATTGACAAAAATATTTATATACATGTTTTTCAACATACGCTATGCCCAGCAAATGATGAAGCAAAAGGGAAAAATGATCATGAATGAAATTGAGTAAAAAATATAGTGTGTTCTTTAAATGATTATTGCAATAATTTTAAATATATATTTGAAATTAATTGCTACATATAAAAAATTGAAAAAAGAAATCATTCGTATAAGTAAACTCTAAGGAAGTTCATATATCCTGAAACTTCTTAGGACAAAAGTTTAGGAAGCTTTTAGGAAAAATATACTGATTTGTCTGAACTAAAAAGTGAAAAAGCAACTCCAGCTCGCTCATACCTGTGGAATCTGTGATGTCGATGAGCCACAACCTAAGCTTTCTATATTTTAGGGGGAGCTCTGTCAAACTATCTTTCTGTGACCACACATTTTTTATTGATTTTTAAAACTTGAATAGACTTTGAATTGAGCTGGCAAATATTACCAAAGGTGTTGGTAAAAAAATACAAACAAAGCACACACGTACAAAAACTAGCGATCACTTTGCACGTTGACAGGGAGTACAGTTTATCCTGGAGTAGCAAGGGATTATAATGCACAGGTCCACTTATATGTAGATTTTTTTCATTAAGTACCTGTATTAACTTTGATTTGCAGTTTAGAGCCCACTCTGAACTGCACTCTGGACTCTCAAGATTTTAGAGAGTCCGCTGTATGTATTGATCTAGGCCATTTTATGTAGGGGACTTGAGTATTTGCAAAGTCTGGTGTCTGTGGGGTTTCCTGGAACCAATAGCCAGCCCTTAGATATCAAGGAACAAGTTAAGTTTTGAGGGAGTCAAAATTTGTAAGTGGACTTTTGAGTGTGTTGGGTCAGCACCTCTAATCCCTACAAGAGTCAGCTATATATCTATATCTATTTTTAACATTAAACATAGCCTATATGGTGACTGCTGTTTTGAGCCACATTTCTTTTGTGATATAGCATTTCTTAGGTATATGTTGACATTTCTTAGATAAAATACAAACATATCAGTGAATTTTACAATTTGGAATTCAATTATAAATATATAAGTTGACAAGAGCTAATAGAATTATCAGACGTTACTTACAGCAGAAAAGTGACAGTGCTGCGCATTTGAATATAGATCACTAACAAATTATAATTTGACATTATTGGAAGCATTTACAAAAATATAAGCATGCCTAGCTATTCATTGGATAATAGCTAATATTTATGCTAATTTTACTAATTTTCTCTGTATGGCAAGAGGAGGAAAACAAATCTATGCAGAGTTGAACTCATAAACCCAATCTGTCTTCTTTCAGCTCCATGATGTTATCCATTATCATTATTCTAATAACTTAACTAACCAACATTCATGCTATTTAATTAAACTAAAATGTATCCAAGCACTTTAAAAATATGCATAACAACAAGCATTGCAAAGCAGGAGAGTTAAATCCAACATATTAATCTTAAATTATATAAAGATGGAAACTATGTGCTTTGTTCTTACAAAAAATATATTGCCATATCAGATTTAAATCCCCGGAAAGATGATTAAAGATCAGTCATACATTTGTATAGCATCGTATACTTCTTAAAGCACGTTGATGTCTATTATCTATTTTGATTCTCACAATAGCCAGAGATTATTATCATTGGAGTTTGGGAAAGTAGGAAGCCACTGAGAATAACTGAGGCTAAGAGATTTGTACCAGGACTGGCTGAACAGATGAATAGAGACATTGAGGTAGGAGCACATGTATCCTAACTGTTAGTCCTGGGTTTGTCTCACACCCCACACAGTCTTGTTGCTAATTTAGTGCTCACATACCAGCTTTTATGGTTCTGTAGCCAGTCTATAGAGTGAAGTGTTGGCAGTCAAGAGTACACTCATGCTTCAGAAATATTATAGAGGCCATAATGCATATTATATAAGTGTATACTGTTGTTATATTGATTTTTTTCACATTAATAGCAATACTAAGCATATGATGTGAGTAAGTCTCATTAGACCAACTGCATAACTGAGGAAACTGAAAGACACTTAAGGATAAGTGATATTAAAGAAAGCATTAGCAGAACAAATAGATGTTCCAGTTGCACTCTTGCTATGACTACACAGAATGTGCCTTTCTGATTTCTTTAAAAGCATTTTCATCACAACAGCCTTGTTGAAGCTATTTCCACTAAAAATATAAAACAAATAGAACCAGTTTTCATTACCTGAAATGTTGTGGCAACCTGTTCATTAAAAGCACCACTCTCACTTCCATGGTGCATTCAAAGCTATATAGTTGGAATATTAAAATTTTACACAAGTTGATTCTGTTTGAGTTCTTGCTGTGAAAATAAGTGTTTTGATGATGATTATCCTCAGCTTCCCAAAGCAGACAGCCTCTTTAGGTAGGAGGATGTGCACTGAAACCCCTACAAATATTATATCCCTTAGTTCCTCGTAGTTATGTGATCTTGTACAAGTCACTTAAACTCTTGGGTTTTTAGACCGCTCATCAGTTAAAATTTAATTCTATCTACTAGATCCTTGATTCTGAACTGCATTTTCAAATTAGACACTGCAAGCTCATAATTTGTATAATGTGATTCTCCCGTGATTACCTTAGCAGCTCATGCTGGTCTATTAACATGTGAATGCCAGCAGAATAAAAGCCTTACACCATTTAAATGAAAATATTTCTCATGTAATATTTCTGTTTGGGCCTTTTGTCTATTGATTTGTGATTCTCCAGTATACTAAAATGAAAATAACTTTATTAAGAATCAAGAGACATAGGTTGTATTCTGAGTTCTGACAGGAAATATTCACTTCGGTGAACTACAGTGTCTTTAGATATAAAGAATAGATATAAAAATACACATCCTGCCTTTCTCATGAATAAGATGTAAAAGGAATAAGTTGACTCAAGTTTGGAACAAGCGAGGTTACAGGACAATACTGAACAGCACAAACAACACTGACATATTTCTGCTTTACCTGATGGAGAGATGTGCCGCCAAGAAATGGAAGGCTCTGGTTTCCCAGTGGCCAAACAAATAAGGGTGACATTGGTTCCTTCATTGATGGTCATATCACTTGAGATGTCATATATCTTCGGAGGAACTGAAATGGTAAAACATGCAGTGGTCAGAAAGAATATATAAAAATCTGGGGCTCTCTATATGGAAACTCCATGAGAACATGCAGTAAAGCTGGGGTGGTAAAAGGGACATATGGCCTATGACCATCACCCCTAAAATAGATTCTCTAGATCCTCAGGACTCAGCCTAGAGTTTTGTTTGTTTGTTGTTTGTTTGTTTGTTTTTGTGTTTGTTTATTTTTTGTCCTTTGGTTAGTTTCATTTTCTCTTTTAGATATGTAATATTTCAGAACAAATGGAGTATTTAATGACAAACATGTTTAAACATTGCTTAAATTAAAATTTGATTGTGGATACTTTGTACGAAGTAAAGGAGAATATAGCCATTCTGTTTGTTCTACCCATGTATCTTCACTATACAATGACTTTCTTGTTCAAAAGATTAAACAAAAATAGAAATCTGGAAGAAACTGAACCGAGCAAAACAGTTATGCCTACAGGCTGATTTAAGAGCTGAGTGAGGTGAAAATATGTACAGGATTGGGAGGTAAGATTTCAGAGTCCTATGGGCATTTTGGGCCTCAATTTTCTATCTGCCCAGGGCTGGAGATTCTCAGCACTTACGTTCTAAGGAACACCATTACTAAGGGCTGGGAAATGTGTGTTCAACAAGAGTTTTCTTGTCAGTAATGGCTAGAAATCTCTGGTTGAAACAAGTTTCTTCACTTGGGGATCTCTTAGAATCTCTGTTATGCCCAATACACATCTTCAGAGGTAAAGGAGAAAATTTTTTTCCCTGAAGTATTAGATTATGGAAGCTTTTATCCCAGAGCATTTGGTGGAACTACTGATTATGGAATATACTTTAGGAATATTGAATAAGAAAATCCCTAAATTAACTTCTCAGAATAAAATGATCATTATTCCCTCAAATGTCAAATAGTCTCACTTAAACCTCAGCACCATGGGTATGAATCCTGGGTCCTCTACTGGCTAGGGTGTTATCTAGGGCAAGTTACCTAATATATCTCAGTTTCAGTGTTTCCATCTGAAAGCTGGAGATAATAGTTCAAACCTCACATAGCTGCTGTGAGAATTAAGCAAGTCAGTATATGTTACAGGACTTAGAAAAGAACCTGGCATCAGTGTTAGCTCTTATTATTAGATACCTTAAAAGATATACATCATATTGCACTACTTTCAGTACTGCCTTCCTCCCATGCCTTAAAATGGCTCTCAGCACTTCGTCACTTTGGTGGTATATGATTGTGCCATAAATTTTGGTTTACTGTATAAAAATTATAGTATGCTGAAGTTCCCAGTTAAAGCTAAACAAATGGCAGTTAGATATCTGGATAATTATACAAGAAATATGATATGTTAATTGTTAGATTCTTAGAGTTTCTTTATGCAAGAGATGTTTTCACGGTCATTAAAACAAACAAACAAACAAACAAAAATAAAACCCAGTAACTAAAATCTGTCATACGAATGAATTCAGTCACCCTACTTTGAATATTATTTTTGATTATTTTCAATGAAACCATAACTCTGCTACAAGAAAATCTAGGATAATGATTTCAAATATAAAGCATTTGATTATATGTAACTGTTGCTATGATTGAATAAAAAGCTTATTCCAAAGTGATATACAATTGTAGCTGTTTCTAAATGACATTTTAATTGGCATTTAAAACATATTATCATTAAACTCTTCAGTGAGCTCTTCTTGGGCGAATAATAAAAACCAAAAATCATTCCAAACAGATACTCTTTTTAGCTTCACTGAAACAGAACAGAGATACAAGCATTAAAATACCATACTAAGAAAGTAGGGAAATATGTGAATGACCTACTACTGGTGAACATGAGAGTTAATAAAAATAAACTTACCACATTAAACAGGAATATCATTGGCTATGTGGATGTAGGTATAGGTTTGACACAATAAACTATGAAATATATGTGCCACACATACCCAAACACATATACACACAAATACATTTATACTGGTGCACACTATCAAGAAAATAAAATAAAAAAGTTAGAGAGCACTTTTCCTGTACATAGAATACAGTACACAGAGATAAACAGAGCTTGTCTAGTTTCTTTGTATATTATAAACATACAAGTGATTATTTAAAAGTAGTGATGGAGTATCAAAAGACCATGTATTACATTGGTCTATGCTCTCAATTACATTATTTTCTCAGTTCTATCTGATTTAAAATAGTTTAGTTTCATCTTCACACATCTTATCTTTTAACTAGTAAACATAAGTGGTAAACTAACATTAAGCACAATATTTGACTTCACAAAAAACAACAAAGTTCCTTAGCTATAAACTTAGATTTGATATTTAACTATGGAAAATTGTGTGTGTGGGGGGGGAAGCGTTGAATTCCAGGTGTGACGTGTCATCTCAGTGATTGTAATCAGCTCTCGGGGCCTCATAATTGAGAATATGCTACAGGGAAGGAACATATGGAAAGAAGAGGTTAGTAAAGGAAAATCCCTTTGGCAAGCCCCTTCTCCCCAGAATGCATCACCTGTTAACAGCAGATACTGTGTGTAAGGGGGAGGGACAGGCAATGAAATCTACCTGCACTGTAGTTTGTGAAGGCAAACACAGATGCTGCTCCACTCAATATGCAAAGCCATTGCAAACCCTGTTTAAGAGTACCATAGAGGATTATGAAAGGTTAATTCTGGGCACACAAGAAATGTAAAAATTTCAAAGTATAATCCTTGTCCTCAACGAACTTCAAATTAAAAGGAAGCAGGCAGAAAGGTATGTAACTAAGATAAAATAAATATTTTCCACACTTTCCTTTACCATTTTACATGAGTAACACATATCTAATAGGCACACCTTCTGGGTTCAGATTGCCAGAGATTGGTTTCATTTTTCTTTTTTTTTAATATGAAGCATGTAGGACATTTTATGCACAAAGCTATTCAGTGAGGTGTTGTTTATAATGGAGAAAAAGTATTAATAACCTCAACATAGGACAACATAAATTGTTTCAACGTAGGAGGTATTGTCAGCTCTACTTCCAGAATAAGGTATGGTAGTGGGGAAGGGTTTGGTGTGATTCCAGGGAGCATCAGGCTAAGGGAAAATAGAAATGTTCCTCCTCTGGGTGGCAGAAGCAAGGGAGAACAGTAATATCTCAGGTGTCTTAAGACCATCCAGTTCTGGTAGCTCTCCCTGGGTTACTGTTGTGTGTAAATGAGGCACACACACGGGTGGGAAGGACTCTGTTGAGCTTTATGAATGACAAAGCAGTGTCTTATGGTATGTCCAACAGGCTTTGCTCTAGCACAGAAAAAAAAAAGAAAAATGAGAAGAGTTAAAATAATTTACTATTCTATATGATTGTTCCTTTTCTATATACCTTAATCCAAATTTTCTCAAGTCCTCTTTTTAAGAAATTTACCTTAAGTAATATCTTCAAAAATGAGCAACTCTGTTCAATCAATTCAAATATTTTAACTCACTAAATGTGAATTTTAGTAAGTGTCTTGGATTTAGGTGTATACTATTTATTTGTGACCAGAGCAGAGTAATAAAGAAACATGTTATTCATCTAAATGTAAACTTGTTTAATTTGCAGAATATAATTATAATAACATTATCATTACTGTCATTATCATCATTACACCATAAATAAAAACAGCAAAGGACAGAAGTTCTAGATTTCATACTAAATCACAGAATAACCTCTCTCCTAATGGGAGTCTAATTAAGGAAAGACAAGACTTTACAACTGAGTTTATAATTATATTTGTTGTGTAGAACCAGTTAATGAGATTGTAAAATAACGGAAGCTCTCTGAAAAAAAAGATTGAAAGTAGATTTAAAGTTTGTGTTAGGATTCAATGTATTATAAAATTCCCATATACTTCTAAATAAATCACTCTTGATCCCTCGAATTAATCACATGCTTTGACTTTAATTATTCAAGGACCTCAAATTCAACTGTTACTTGGTATGCCACGTCCTCAACTCCTATTCAGTTGATTTCATGATGAAAGAATGATACATAGTTAAATGTATTTATAGATTTAAATTCACTAAAGGTAATTTAAATCTTTTGTTTGTTTCAGCTTCTCTAAAAAATTATGTGGTTTGACCTGTCCCAACTGCCTTACCTTATCTGAGTCATCTATCACAGCAGTATCAGCAAGGAAAACCTTAGAATACATATGCAAACCAAATCCTAATAATTTCCGCTCCGCCAAACATTTCGTACTATTCCCTATTATTTGCAGTATAATGGGCAATTGAGTTTGTGAGAGGCTGCATGGTTTGCTTTTTCATTATTATTATTATCAATGTGTACTTGTTTTCTGTGCTACATAAATAAGTTTTTTGTTTGTTCAATGAGAAGCCTTCACTGATTTAAATACAATTTCTTCCAAGAATTCATCTTGTAGTCTGGAATATAACCATTAAAAAGTCAACACAAAGGTGACTAATCTATATATCACAGGAATCATATGAGCATAGTGTTTTATTATACTAAAAGTCTGTGCAGATCATTTCCAGAAATAATCAATAAAATAAAGTTTACACCTATACTAAATATCAGTAGATACAAGGCTGGGTCACACATAATATTGAGAACCATTAGAGGATGTATTGGATGGTTATTTTAACTGTAAATTCAAGACATGGACTATTTGGATCTGTAAATTTACATTGGCTCACTGGAATCAATTAAATGCCCCATCGAGTTCTTAAGTTGTAATAGTCCATGAAACACCATAGTTACCAATTCATTTGGAGGTATTCTTCAGGCTTCCGGAGATAAAAGCTGGATGAAGTATTTATTTAATCCAAAATATATAACATTTATTTAGTTGTATACTCACAGATTATGAAAAAATCAGTAAATCAGTCCAGGATTTATTATAACCGCAATATTCCTTAGGGTGTAGAGTCAATGTTTTAAAGTGTACCGTGTGCTCCCACTCATTCTCTGAAGTTATAGGTGCATTACCAAAAATTTTTAAAAGT